AGCACTCTCTGTGTTGGTGCAATCACTGGTGGGGATATGGGTGCAGGTCTCTATTCATTGTGAATAGGCTGTGGTGTTAGGATGAACAGGTGTAGTCCTATCTGTAGTAGCTACTGTTGCCCAGTGGAGGTTGCTTAGTGCCTGTTGCATGAGGCAGGAAGAAAAGGGAAAAGAGAAAGGGGGGAAAAAACCCAGAAGGGCACCCCAGGATAGGAAGTCTGAAGAGAGTTTTTTCCTTGGGATAAAAAGCATCAGTTAGTGATGCAGGCATGGTCAGGGTAGCTCAGGTCCTTTTTGGGGCATCTGCTGAGGATGCTGTCTGGGAGATTCAAATCCAGAAGTAGTCCTGATGAAGAGAAAGTCCCACCTCTCTCTGGGTGGACTGACAAGCTGCAGAAACCCAATGTACAGATTCAATCCAGACCACAAGTAATTTCCAGGAGATTAGCCAAAACCCACTGCCTTGCATCCATTCTGGGGCTCAGGCAACTTGGAGAGAACTTCTCCCTTTCTCCCCCTCCACTCCAGAATCCAAGGCAGCCCAAGCCAAGGGAGGTCCCAATCTGTTTGCCTGCAAGATTTTTGTTCCTCCACAAAGTCCCAGCTCACCTTGCAAAACTCCCGGTGAGGCTATTCTGAGTCCCTGGTGCCTGTGGGTTCTGCAGTTTGTTTGTTTTTTTTTCTTTTCCTTCTTTTTTTCTTTCCTTCTCCCTTTTCTTTCCTTCTCCTCTACCCTGTCTCTCACTCTAGGACTTTGTTTTCTCTCCTCCGGCTGGACAGGCCTGCCTTTTTTTTCCAATCATTTAGCCTACTTTCTTTCTTTGGCTTTACTGGATCTAATACTATACCTTGCCCTTAGCTGCTCATCACTCAAGTATCTTTATTATATATGCTTTACCTAGTTGTTCTGGTTTTCAGATGGAAGAGGTAGTGATCTTTATCTTATCTGCATGACATCATCTTCCATTCCCTCCAGGCTCTTTCTCTCTTGTCGTGCCACTACGTTTAGTAAGATGGTCCATGATGACTGCTATAATTCAACCATCATTTCCATATTGAGCCAACAGCAAAGAAGACTACTGGAGAAAAGTCTTCTCTTAGACTTCAGGAAAATCCACAATATTTTCACTTACATTTTGTTGGCCAAGATATTGTCACATAACCATTCCTAGTTGCAAGGGAGGATGGGAAATGTAATAATTATTTAGGATGGCTACATCCCCATGTAAAAGCAGGGGTTGCATTATTAGAGAAGCAGGGAGGATAGCTATTAGGGGAGAAAACTAGCAGTCACAGATAGTATACTTCAGAAGAGCAAGAATTTTCAGTTGCTAGTCCTGGTTTAAATTTCAACTCCTGCTTACTAGCTGTAAGATCTTGACCAAGCTGCTTAACCTCTATGATCTTCTCTATTACATCATCTATACAATCAGCATAATATATCATGAGAATGAAATGAAATAACAAATGTTCAGTATTTAGCTTGGTAGCTATTACCCTTGCACTAGATCCCACATCAACATCCTTGACTTCATTTATTTTCTTCGAAAACAAAACAAAACAACAACAAAAATAGACACATCTCATCATCGTGGCATTGTTTTTCCAACTCATAGTGACCTCTTCTTGGGTTTCTGAGGAGGTATCTCTACCGAAATAGATTTCCCAATCTTCCTTCTGAGGAGTGGCTGGTGAATGAATTTGAACTGCCAGCCTTCTGGTTATCAGTCAAATGCTTTAGGCACTACAACACCAGAGCTCCCTTATTTACTTTACTATGTGATATTGGTTATAAATAATATGTTTAACACCTACTTCTTTCATATCCTTACTAAAGAACTAGCAAATATGGCTAGGACTAGTACCGTTGAAGACATGATAAGTTAATGCATAGAGTTTGATTGTTTATGTGATCTGCATGCCAACCATGTGCCTTGAAAAACCCGATGGTGAGGGTAGAGGTGAAGTTACAGGAAATATTTGCACTTCAGTAACATGTGAAGTATAAAGACCATGGAGAAGTAGGAAGAGTTTAGGGAAAAATCTCATCCAGCTAAGAGGAAAATCTCAGGTTCTTCACTTCCTCTCCCATGGCTCCTTGTCACCAGCAGGGGGAGCTCAGACTGCAACTCTGATCCTGTAGATCTGGATGGTTCCTGACTGACAAGGGAGGATTTCTAGAGTGTAGTTCCTCAGTTTGCCAATCCTGCTCTGGTCACTAGGAACTTCCTGTGATTAATACAAACCATTCGGAATGATGTCTGTTTCAATAGTAGAGAAAACTCAAAATTCCTTGAAAAAAAGTGGCGGATAGTTGTTGGGATTTATATATATCTATATATATAATCAAAACCCCAAATTCACTGGAGTTGAGTTGAATCTGACTCATAGCAACCCCTCCTTGGGTTTCCAAGGCAGTATCACTAAGGAAGTAGATTGTTCAACCTTCCTCCTGAGGAGTGGTGGGTTTGAACTTCCAGCTTTCTGGTTAGCAGTCACATGCCTTAGGCACTATGCCACCAGAGCTCCCATATATATATACATACTTTATATATATGTATATATTTTATACATATATATATAGTATAAAATATACATATATATGTATAAAATAGGTTGGGCAATCCTACTTCCGTAATGATACTGCCTCGGAAACCCAAGGAGGGGTCGCTATGAGTTGGGGCCGACTCGACAGCACATAACAACAACAACAACAACATAATAAATAAATAAATAATATATATATATATAAGGGAGCTCTGGTGGTGTAGTGCCTAAGGCATGTGACTGCTAACCAGAAGGCTGGAGGTTCAAACCCACCAGCCACTCCTCGGAAGGATGATGGGGCAATCTACTTCTGTAGTGATACTGCCTTGGAAACCCAAGGAGGCGTAGCTATGAGTCGGGTCCAACTTGATGGCACATAACAACAACAACAACAACAACAAAATATATATATATATATAAAATTTTAATATTAAATTCAATATTATTTTAATATTCTCTCTCTCTCTCTCTCTCTTTCTCTCTCTCTATATATGTAATATTTTTTTCCTGTATTTACTCACCAGTCCCAACTCTCTGAAAGACTTTCAATCATAAATATTTCCTAAGTATTTTGTGGGACTGGGCACTAGGTAGGCAGTGAGGACTGTGGACAAGACTGGGCCTCTGCCCACAAGGCTCTCACTACTGACAGATAGCCACACAAAAAACAGGATTGGATGATGGTTCCCCCTCCTTTACCCTTCCTGGGGTCACTTTGCAGTTCTTACCACTAGTGGTGAGATGTATTTCCCTGCCCTACTGCTGGTAATTTTGGCAGGATTGGATGATGGTTCCCCCTCCTTTACCCTTCCTGGGGCCACTTTGCAGTTCTTACCACTAGTGGTGAGATGTATTTCCCTGCCCTACTGCTGGTAATTTTGGCCAAGTGACTTGTTTTGTCCAGTGAAAAGTGGGCAGACAAGAGTGAGTTAGTTCTGAGTGAGGCTTGTGTTTTTTGTTCATATCATTTGTACTTCTACCATCACATGAGAAGATCATTTTCCAGGAACCTCATTGGTCCAAGGAGGATGAAAGATATGAGGAGCTGACATGGATATCACCTGAAACTTGAAGCCAAGTCTATCACAGCCCAATCTAGATAAGCCAAACTCCATCTGACCCACAGACTCAGCAGCAAAAATAAATGATTATTGTTTTATGTCTCTCAGTTTCGGGATGGTTAAGCAGCATTATTGTAGCAATGGTTAGTCGATGTAACAGGAAATTGTGATACAGTGTGAGAACGACTGGAGAAAGACAAGAAGGAATCTACTCCAATCTTGAGGAGATTTGCAGACGGGAATACTTCATGAACTTGTATATATTATTCATTATTGGACTTTATTTTGATTTTCCCCCTGGGGTGCTTAAAACCAGAGAATTAAAAGTATATATAGAATCTCTCAGGGTATGTCAGAATTTTATGTAAAATAAGAGTTAATCCATAGGAATTAGAGGAAGGGTTTCCTAATGAGTAAAATATAAGGATGCTTTGACTTCTACTCGATCATTCACTTATTTACTCATTCATCAGGTTGAAATTGGGGATATAACTGTCGCTATGAGGTGGGTCTGACTCGATGGCACATAACAACAACAATAACAGCTGTGAACAAAACAGACTAGGATTCTTATGCACATGAAGTTTACCTTGCAGAGGGAAGAGACATAATTGATGGTGAATGTCACAAAGAACAATCGAGTAGTAAAGGAAAATATAGTGCAGATGATGTAGTGCCTAGGGCATTTGACTGCTAATTAGAAGGCTGGCGGTTCAAACCCACCAGCCACTCCTCAGAAGGAAGACTGGGCAATCTATTTCCGTAGAGATACTGCCTTGGAAACCCAAGGAAGGGTCACTATGAATTGGATTCGACTCGACAGCAGTGAGTGAGGGAGGAAGGGTTGTGCAACCTTAAACAGGGTGGTCAGGGAAGACCTCACTTCAGGGTGGGTGTGTGATATTTGAGCAAAGACTAAAGGAGGAGAAGGAACGAGCATTAGGCTCACCTGAGGAAAGAACATCCCAATAATCAAAACTACAACTAAAAAAAGAAAAAAAATAAAATAAAATAAAAAAAAAGAAGAAGCAATGTCTCAGCAGAGGTAGGTAGTGCCTAAGGCCCAATTCTGGAGAGAGAGACTTAGGAAATGAAATCCCTATATCAAGAATGTCTAAGAGCTTTAGGGAATTGACTTATGGCATGTTCAGTAAATATATTAGAAATGAGCAAATCTGAAATATTGAGTTTTCTTGTAAAAACAAACAAAAACTAGAAAAGAAAGTTTCTGTAATCATGTGAAGTATCCATACCCTGTCACTGGTACACCTTCAAGGGTTCTTTCTTTGGGAGTCTTTGGTTCTTGATGACCCCTCTTTCTCCTCCTCTAGGCTACTAGGTGCTGGTCCTCAGCTTTTTGTTTCCTATGCCCTCCAGAAGTGGTCTGGAACAATGTTCATCTTATGTATGGTGATTGTGGGTGCTTCTGCCTTCATCATTCAGCCTGAGGAACAAACAGGTAAGAAGTCAAGCTGTCAAGCAGGAAGTGGCTTGTCTGTGGCTTCCCTGTGGAAGACAAGTGTCTATTTAGTTCTTAAAAAATCAAAAGTATCAATAGTTGTGTCTGATAGATTGCAAATGCTTCTCTTTGCCTACCTGTTCTTAGTACCACATGGGCTGTGGGTAGTGGTCACTCTTGTCAAGGAGTGAGCCAAAGGAATGGGTACTCTTAGGCGAGCCCTTAAAATATGCATTATCTTGTCACAACCAACCTCTTCTGTCTGAAATCAGATCCACTTTTAAAGACAAGGGGTCAAAAAGTGAAAAATGGCTACATTTTAAAATCATTCTTTCTTTACCATGTGAACCTGATTTTTACTTTCTCTGAAAAATATAAACTGCAATTGATAGCAACCCTAGGCTTGTTATTTGGAAAATTTGAGGCCATAAATAACAAGGGAGTCAATGGACCCCCAGAGTGCAGGTTCTCACTGTGCCTAATGTCCCCTTGACAGAACAAGCCCAGGTCTGGAGATCCCGGGGAGTTTTGTGATTTAGGCAGGTTTGGAAACAACATCAGCCCCTGAATGGCACAAACAATTTGTGCTTGACTGCTAACCTAAAGGTTGGTGGTTCAAATGCACTTGGAGGGTTTATGGAAGAAAAGCCTGGCAATCTGTTTCCATAAGGACTAGAGCCAAGAAAACCCTATGGAGCAGTTCTACTCTGTAATATATGGGGTCTCCATGATGCAGAATCAACTCCATGGCAATGAGTTTGGTTTTGGTACCAAAAAGCTAACTGCAGTCTCTCTCTCTGTTCTTCAGTGGCTGTAAGAAATTGCCAATTTCGTGGCAAGCATTTCAAAAAGTACTTCAGGGTGGAAGAGGAGCCTGTGGTCCTGAGATGCCCCCATGAGGAGTCTTGGTTGTGGACTAGTCCCCACACCAACATAATGTGGCATAAAAATGACTCTGGTAGGATAATTCCAGGGGAAGACACGCGCATGTGGGTCCAGGACAGGGCTCTCTGGATTTTGCCAGCCTTGCAGAGGGATTCTGGCACTTATGTATGCACTATAAGGTAAGACATTCTGCAAGGAGAGTGGGGTTGGGCTCCCTCACAGAATGAACTTTTGCTTAGTTCTTCAGAGATGACCTAGATTTCAAAACCCAGTACACAAATGAGAGCATAAATTGTGTTCACCTCACTGTCCCTGAAAAACCTGACACCCTAGGACCTCCCCCCAGATGTCATGACCCTCCTCTTCCTTCACTGAAATGTTTTCTCAAATGTCCCCTGTTTGGAAAGGATCTCCCTAGCCACTTAATCTAAAATAGCACTCCTGTCACTCTCTCTTCTTACTCTGCTTTTATTTTTCGTCATAATATCAGTGTGTATATGTGTGTGCTTATGCATTTTATTTATGTATTCATCTCTTCATTAGAACATAACTCCATGAGCCAAAGAACTGATTACTTTGTTCACTGCTGAATCCAAATGATAAAGATGCAAGAAATATATGAATGGAATTTTAGACCTGGATGAGACTTTAGGAATGAATTAATTCAATTATGTATTGTACAGATGAGGGAATCAAGCTCCGGAGAAGTGAAATCATTTATAAAATTACGCCAAGTGGTTGTTGGTGGAGCTTGAATTGGAATTAACATCTTCTGACCCTGAGTCCTGCTGCTTCTTGAACAGGAGAGACACAGGCCTGGTGTTGGCCATCTTAAAACTTCTCTGTAGAGTTCCTGGGTTCTGCAAATGATTAATGTGTTTCAGCTGCTAATTGAAAGGTTGGTGGTTTGAGTCCATCCAGAGGCACCTTGGAAGAAAGGCCTGATGATCTACAACCAAAAAAGCAGCCATTGAAAATTCCATGGAGCACAGGTCTGACACACATAGGGCCCCATAAGTCAAAATCAACTCAAAGATAACTATTTACTTTTTCAGTCTTAGTTCTGAAAAGATTGGGGCAGACCCTTGGCCAGATTGTGAAGCAGCTTTCCTGACCTTATCTCTGTCAAGGTGGACTCTCCCTTGCCCAAGCCTCTTCTTAGTCCTTCCACCAGCCAGCTTTCCCCACTGCCGTTGAGTCGGATCCGACTCACAACAACCCCTCCTTGGGTTTCTGAGGCAGTATCACTATGGAAGTAGATTGCCCAGCCAGCTTTAGAGCCCCTCCATATCTCATCAACTTATTTGATATAATTGGAAACTATGCCCAGGAATATTTACAATTAAAAAGAAAACCAAAGAATATGACATTCTTATCATAAAATAATTATTGGCTAAAGGCAGAACTTAAGATAACATCAGCCCCAATTCTAGGTAGGGTGCATGTGAATGATTTTGAGAAGGTTTTCAAATTATACACACCTTGGTGATCACCCTTTCTGCTAACCTATGTGCCTAGCCTCCACTATAAACAATTTAGAGGTAGGCTTGATTCCATCAATGAACTTTGCCTAGGAAACAAACAAGCAAATTCCTATTTCCATATACAGAGAAAAGTGATTGTCTGATTTTATAATAGAGATGCATGATTTTTTCTTTATTTTTCAGTGTAAACACTAATTTTTCCCAAAGATCATTACTTAGGGAAATATAATACTGTTGTAGAAAAAAAAATATGGAATTTGGAGTCAGGAGGTGATGGCTTGGAATCTTAGCCATTCTCCTTTCTCTCTGGTAGAAACTTGGTCTTGCTTGATCTTTATGGGCTTCAGTTGTTTCTCCTGTAAAGAAGCTTGTTGGGAGCATTACATGAAATCACTGCATATGAAGCATGTGGCAAGGGGAGCATTTCAATAGGTGGTCAATAAGTACCTGGGAATGGAACTAATGAAGTGTAATGCGCAAAAGTCAGGGAGACTTTAGCTGAGTCATGTTTGTCTTAACACTTTTATATTCAATTTTAAAAAAGCATACTTAATACCCTTAGTTTTTATTCCTATAGAAAAAAGAGGTGTGAGACTGAGGAGGAAGTAGAAATCCCAATGTGTGCCAAGCTTTCACATATGGGAGAGTTCACCTGATGACTTTTCAGACCTTCTTTCCTCTCTAAGTTTGGGGATCTATTAGAGGGGGAATCACCAATGGTTACCATAATGCTCTTTGGTATTTATAGTCGTAGGGCATGAAACTGTCCTGTTCCTGTGATTTTTATGATCTAGAACCTGTGTCATTTACCAAGACCTTTTTGCAGTCAGGGGAGGCAAGGTTATCCTGTGTAATAAACACCCCCAAATTTCAATGGCTTTAAACAACAAAGGCTTATTCCTCACTCATGCTAATGTCCGTCATGGGTTGGCAGGCACTCTGGGCTGAAGGAACAGTCATGATCTCAAATGTTTTTGGTCACTGCACCCGAAAGAAATACGATCTGGAGTGTTTCTTGTGGCATACTAAAGCTTTGATATAGAATTGACACATGGGCAATTCACTGAATACAAAGAGTCATAGAATTGTGCCCATGCACAGCAGGGCCAGGAGTGTAATGCCACCATGCATTCAGAGAATGGGATAACTGGAAACAATCGGTGAACAGGGCTGGTCACAAGCACATCTTTATTATGAGGCTGCCACCACACTACATGGCACTATGGCTGGCCATCAAATATCTCCCTGCCCCATTTTTGCTTTAAGTTATTTTCATGGAGTGTCTTTCCCAAAAGGAATTTCTAGATCAATTATATGATCACATCAATTATATGCATTCTTGATGTGTGTAATCAGCTTGGTTTCCAGAGACAGTGCCTTAAATCATGGGTTTTCTCAGAGTCCTAGTAGGCTTCCAGTCTTGTCTCAACCTCTTATTAGCTGCACAGCCTTAGGAATTTACATAACTTCTATATATCTCCTTCTCCTTATTGAAAATATCAGGACGATAATTCCCACTTCACTGTGTAGGAGAATCCATGTAAGGTATATAAAGCACTCAGCACAGGCCCTGGATGGTTGTGTGCACTGAGCCAGCTGCTGGGATTACTGTTTTTCAGGTATGTACTGTTTTTAGACTTGTCTTTGCATTTCTTCACCTTGCAATGAGATTGTGTATTTTTCAAGGTGATAATAAATTTGATGCATTTCTTTGTGCATAAAATGTACATTCGTCTATCTCCTTCCCTCCCTCCCTCCCTCCCTCCTTCCTTCCTTCCTCCCTTCTTTCTTTTTAAACTAGATATGGAATACAGTAAGGAATTGGCCTTATATATTTGAATGAATTATTTTTACTTTTGGATAGTAAGCTCTTACCAATTACTACTTCTTCATTTTTTTTTTTTTTTCCTCATGTTGCCTCTTTGGATGTAAATTGCATTACATTTTGCTATGGAAGTTGTTTTTTCCTCCTGTATGTATTAAACACCTTCCTTGGGTCAGGAACTTAGCTAATGATAATTATATTTTATGTTTTACTATCTTAAATATATATATGTATATTTATCATTATCTTTTCCTTTCACTCCCTTTCCTCCATATTTCCAGGCTTGTTTTGACTTGGTCCTTTTTTCCTGTTTTGGGGTCTTGATAGAATTATGATCTTGAGATTACAGTTAGCCCAACCCAACAACAATAATAATAACAAAGCAACAAACTTATGAAGTTCACTTGCCCCATGCAACACTGCAAAATTCTTTTATAGAATTTATACTAAGTTTTCAGCCATTTTCTGAAACCAGACTATAGTTGATACATGATTCCCAGGAGCAGTAATGGGAATTTTCTTTATATAGAATTAGTGGCTCTTTGGAAACAATCTCTCCGCCTGGATATGCTTCCCCAGGCCAGGAGACTGACACATGTTGGGGCTGGACTGGTAGCTCAGTGTCTAAGGCAATGGACTGCTAACCAGAAGGCTGGCGGTTCAAACCCACCAGCCACTCCTCGGAAGGAAGGTTGGGCAATCTACTTCCATAGTGATACTGCCTCGGAAACCCAAGGAGGGGTCGCTATGAGTTGGGGCTGACTTGACGGCAAATAACAACAACAACAACAGTACCTGAAAGCTTTAGGGCCCTTCAGAGAGGACTGGAGAATTTCTTAGTGGCCCTAGTTAATGTTGAAATCAGGTTTCCTTGGGAAAATGCAGGATGTATCATTGTTTCTATGTAGCAATTATAATGTTGGTTGGGTTTTTGTTATTGTTATTGTTCTCTGAGAATTCAAATGGAGCAGAGACAGAAGTATTGTAATCTGAATCAAGAAAATGCAGAATGTTGCATTTAATGGGATTGGGAAAATTACTTTTATTATTATTGTGATTTGGCTGAAGATTTACAGGGCTAATTCATTTTTCATTCAATAGTTCATACACATTTTGTTTCATGACATTGATTGCAATCCCCTAATCTAACAGCTCTCTTTCCACTTCCTCCCTGTGGTGATCTTTTCCCTGTGTTCTTCTTTCCTACACATTCCTGCACTCTGAGCTATCTCCCTGAGCAAATGCTGCCCTTCTGATCTCCCACCATTGATTGTTCTAAGGAGTATACCTACCTGGTGTAGGTACACCCAAGGAGGGGTTGCTATGAATTGGATCTGACTCAACCCAAATGAGTTTTTTTTTTTTTTTTGATTGTTTAGCTAGGCGCTCTGGTGGTATAGTGCCTAAGACATTTGACTACTAACCAGAAGGTTGGCAGTTCAAACCCACCAGCCACTCCTCGGAAGGAAGGTTGGGCAATCTACTTCTGTAATGATACTGCCTCGAAAACCCAAGGAGGGGTCACTATGAGTCAGATCCAACTTGATGGCAGTGAATTTGTTTTTTTATTGTTTAGCTGGAAGCCACGGAAGTCAGTTCAATTCCAAGCCCCAATTCAGGCCCAAAGCCTGATCCTTTTTCATGATTTTGTTTTTTATTTCACATTTTTCTCTCACTCTATCCAGGATCTCTGATTTTGATCACTTTCTGAGCAGTTGGCAGTTGTAGCCAGTCACTAGCTAGTTCTTCTGGTCTCAGGGTCATGTACACTGGGGTTCTCATGGTCCACTAGTCCCTTGTACAAATTGCATCCATGTGTCTTTGATTTTCTTCATTCCTCTTTGTTCTGGAAGAGGAAAGACCAATTGTTGCATCTTAAATGGCTGCTTGCAAGCTTTTAAGTCCCTAGTCATTACTTACCAAAGTATGATGTAGAACAATGTAGTATGTTATGCCAAATGAGCTTAATGTCTCTTTGACCATAGTACTGAGCCCATGGACCCAGTGACTCACTTGGATTCGTGAAATTATTGTTAATTTCATTTACTTTTGTTTTGTCTTGCTATTTATTAACAACTTCTTCATTTTTTCAGAAATGCCTCCTACTGTGATGAAATGTCCATTGAGCTCAGGGTTTTTGAGAATATAAAAGCTTCTCTGCCATTCATCTCTTACCTACAAATTCTAACCTTGTCAACCTCAGGATTATTAGTTTGCCCGGAGCTGAGTAAATTCACCCGTAACAAAACTGACTTGAATATTCAATGGTACAAGGTACATCTTTATAAATTGCCATTTCATTGAAATGTGTTTTACTAGTTTATACTAATGAAAGTATAAAATACCTATTTTTGAAGATTATACATTTCTTTTTATATTTCTGGATGCTAAAAAGCACTGAATTTAAAAAGAGCCATGAGAGCTCTGCTCTGGTAGCATAGTGGCTAAGGCACTTGACTGCTAACCAGAAGGCTGGTGGTTCAAACCCACCAGCCACTCCTCGGAAGGAAGGTTGGGCAATCCTACTTCCGTAGTGATACTGCCTCGGAAACCCAAGGAGGGGTCGCTATGAGTCGGGGCCGACTCGACGGCACATAACAACAACAACAACAATGATTAATATAATCTGTTAGTCCTTATGTAGCTTGGGTTAGAATCATCACCATTTTGATTTGAGGGAAGAGAATATAAAACGAATCCATGTTAAATAACTGCTGAATGAAATAGGTGTTTACTCTGCCCATTGTACATGAAAATTTAGAAAAAACTGTTACTTTACATAAAAACTTTATACACATAATAGAGTTCCTGGGTGGCACAAACATTTACATGCTTGACTATTAGCCAAAATGCTGACAGTTCAAACCTACCCAGAGACTGACAGAGACAGACCTGGCAATCTACTTCTGAAAGGTCGTAGCACTGCAAATCCTATGAAAATAGACTTGAAACCTAGAGAGATAATTTCTTTTTCTATCTATATTAACTCCTAAACTTAAAATGATCTTAAAATTATTAGTCCAATCTTATCTCTTTTGAACATTGTCATTCAAATCACTGTGACTACTTCTAATGCTCTTTCTTGGATTTTTCCTAAGCTCTATTTAAAGGATATTATTTTAAAGCATATGATAATTAATCTTTGGTTTAATAGAGTAAATACAAACACAGTTTAGTCCTTTGCCTGGGTTCATAAGTACTGTAGATTTTTGAGTGGCTCCTAATGAAAGCATGGGAGCTCTGGTGGTGTAGTGCCTAAGGCATTTGACCACTAACCAGAAAGCTGACAGTTCAAACCCACCAACCACTCCTCGGAAGACTGGGCAATCTATGTCCATAGTGATACTGCCTCAGAAACCCAAAAAGGGGTCACTCTGAGTCAGATCCAACTCAACGGCAGTGAGTGTAGTTGTTTTTGGTTAATGAGGACATGAGATGTTATTTATATAAACCAGTAGTCAGCAAACTATAGCCTGTGGACCACATCAAGCCTGCCCCCTGGTTTTGTACAGTCCATAAGCTAAGGATGGAAAGTTTTTATATTTTTAAATGGATCTATATATATGATCAGTATTTTATGATGTGTAAACATTATAAGAAAAGCAATTTCAATATTCATCAATAATGTTTTGCTGAAACGCAGCCATGCTCATTCATTTACTTATAACCCTTGGAAGTTCATAAAACAATAGCAGATTTTTGTAGCTTTGACAGAGACCATACATCCTGCAAAGTCTTATTTACTGTCTGGCCCTTTATAGAAAAATTTTGCTGACTCCTGATATAGATCATAGATTGAAATGAGAAGTAATTTCTTTAATCTTTGATAGAAATTAATCCTTTAGTCAATAATAATTTAACCAGCATAGTGCCTAAGGCATCTGACTGCTAACCAGAAGGCTGGTGGTTCAAATCCACCAGCCACTCCAATCTACTTCTGCAGTGATATTGCTTCAGAAACCCAAGGAGGGGTCGCTATGAGTTAGATCTGACTGAATGGCAGTAATTTGGTTTTATACACATACACACATACACACACACATATATCAGTTTAACATTGAGAACATTTGAATAATTTTATAAAGGTAGAGTATAGTAGCCAGCTCCTATGAATTAGCCAGCCTAGCTATATAATACATTTGCTCTTGGTTTAGAGTTATCATAATGAGGACAAGTGAAAGGTTTCACCAACCTGGGTTTGAAAACTTGCTCCATCATTCACTTGGTGTGAAGCTTTGGACCAATCACTCCACCTCTTGAACCTGTTTCCTCTATAAAATGGTGATTAATATTTCCCACCACCCATGGTTCAAGTGATATGTGATAGGCTACTAACCTAAAGGTTGGCAGTTAAACCCACCTAATTACTCTATGGAAGAAAAGCTTGGTGATCTGCTTCTGTGCAGATTACTACCAAGAAAACCCTATGGGGCAGTTTTACTCTAATACATGGGGTTGCCACTAGTTGTAATGTGCTTAACAACAATGGCTTTTGTTTGGGGATTGTTTGGAAGATGAAATGAAATAATGTATATAAAGAACCTATGAGGATCTTTATAGTAGAGGATCTCAATGACTATGTCTGGGCAAGGATATTACAGTGGTGCTTAATAGTGCTTGTTCCTTCATAATAATGTTAATCTTCACTCAACATGTAATGTATGCAAGCCTGTTATAAACTCTCTGGCATGTACCCAAAGAAGTAGGGACTATTAGTATCTCCATTTTATAGATTGGGAAATGGAGACACACGTAAAAAACTTGCACAAGGTCAACCTACTTGCACAAGGTAGATAACCAAAAAACTACCAAACTCACTGCCATTGAGTCAATTTCAACTCATAGCAACCCCTCCTTGAGTTTCCGAACAGGTAGATGCTGAAGCCAAAACTCTGCCCCAGGTATTTAAGCTCCTTACACAACTGCTACATAGGGTAACCCTAGTGGCTTGAAGCTTTGGAACAACTTTGGTGGTGGGACCTATTTGACTTTTTTCACATTTGACTATGTCTGTTAGAAACAAAGAAACCTGGTGGCCTAGTGGTTAAAGCACATAGCTGCTATCCAAAAGATCAGTGATTTGAACCCAGTAGCTGCTCTGTGGGAGAAAGATGCAGCAGTCTGCTTCCATAAAGGTTTACCGCCTGGAAACTCTATTGAGCAGTTCTACTCTGTCCTATAGGCTGCTGAGTCATCATTGACTTGACAGCAGTGGGTTAGAAACAATGAATTTTTTTTTTTCATTTTTAATTTAAAATATTGTAAAGTCATACTGTATGAGTCATGTGGCCAACAAACTGTTTCAGTTATGTCTATGCTGCCATTCAGAGTAAGATTATGAAATGACTCAGGTTATAGTTGACTAATGCAAGCTCTCAATCATGGTTTTAAAAGAAATGTTCCTGAGAACATTTTGTGCTATTAGGACATTTTATCAAACCTTATTTGGCTTTTTATAATTTATTGGAAGCCATGTTCTTGAGGGCTCTATTCAGCAGAGAACTCATAATAATACCCTTTGTCTATATGAAAAAGTTGGCCCAATTTTCCCACTTAGTTTTTTTCCTACAATTTTTTTTCTCTATTTCTATTGACTCCTAATATTAAAATGATTTTTAAAATAATTACTGCAATGTCATCCTTTTGAACATTGTCATTCAAGTCACTGTGACTGTATAATAGTCTTCTTACCTGGATGGTTCCTAAGGTAGTTAAGCCACAAATATATGGAATTTTAAGTTATCTATTTTGTCCAAGAAGAGATAATCTTCCCCATTCATTGTGCTATTTAATCCAGTAATTTTGTTTTATATGCTAATAAATTTCCTTTTCTAAAAATGTAGTTAGAGGTGTGTCCAAGTACAACTTTGCAAAGGAAATACCAGGGTAATTCTTCGGTTCAGGGAAAATTGAATATTGGTTTGTAATAATGGTGCTATTAAGCATAGCTTTTGAGATATCCATTGATGTGTAACCTTATTCCTTAAGGATTCTACTCCTCTGGATCAAGACAATGAAAAGTTTCTAAGCTTGAGGGGAACTACTCGCTTGTTCATACACAATGTGTCTGTGGAGGATGCAGGCTATTACAGTTGTGGCATGACATTTTCCCATAATGGCACTCAATATAATGTCACAAGGAACATTAACGTGCGTGTGAATAGTAAGTACTTGCTGTACCTTTCCATTGTGGTTCAATAACAAGCATGCAAAGAACAATTGAGGTTCACATAGACCAAACTCACTTGAATGTCTTGGGTATAAAGGGCAATGAAAAACATATCTCAGCAATTCAAAAGCATCGGGTTAAGACAACATACGTGTGACACTCTGAAAAGTAGAAAGCAGGGTGTTGTTATAAGGGAAGGTGAGTTCCTGGATAGTTGTGATTAGATTCCAAGTCTGATACTAGAGCCCACCACTGTTGTTGTTATGTGCCGTCGAGTCGGACCCACTCATAGCGACCCCTCCTTGGGTTTCCCAGGCAGTATCACTACAGAAGTAGATTGCCCCATCTTCCTTCTGAGGAGTGGCTGGCGGGTTTGAACCGCCAGCCTTCTGGTTAGTAGTCCAACACTAGAGGGAATGAAAATCTCCTTTAGAGAACCCCACTTGGAAGGCATTCAGCAACAGGGCCAGCAATCAGAACACAGTTGCCATAACTTTTGTGTAATTCTAGGATGTTAGGATTTTATTTGACTTCCTAGTCAGAAGGCTGGGAGCTCTGGTAGCACAGTGTGTAAAGCACTTGACTGCTAACCAGAAGACTGGCGGTTCAAACCCACCAGCCACTCCTCGGAAGGAAGGTTGGGCAATCTACTTCCATAGTGATACTGCCTTGGAAACCCAAGGAGGGGTTGCTGTGAGTCGGGTCAGACTCAGCGGCACATAATGACAAGAAGTCAGAAGGCTGTGCATTGGCATGTCCAGCGGAAATCACCCTGTTTGACTTCCCTAAGACATGATTAATTTTCTTTGATATCAGGATTGCATAATGAAAGCTTTCATTGGTTTTAACTGAATTGGTTTAAATGAATTATAAGTAATGTTGTGAACAGGGTGGGTTAACATTTTAAAGTTTGTTCAGCATTTACTCTTTATCTTCTACCTACCTAGGAAATAAAAAAGTAGATACAATTGGGATATAGGTGCAAGAGGAATAAAAGTGTTTGAGCCTTGGACTCTACCTGAAAAAGTTTACTGTTTTTGACTATGAAGAGCTAACACAATTGGAGTCTTTCAAGGAGATTTCAGAGAGCTTTGAAAACGTATTGTTAAGTTAAGGTTAATCTAAGCTTTTTCTCACAGAGAATCCAGAAATTCAGTTTTACTACAGGAACATCATGTCTCCCATGGACTGAAGTCTCTAGATACTTTTATTTTATTATTGTGCTGTGGGGATGCATTCATATCAAGTCCCTATTTTCTCAACAGGGTAGTGCCTGAGGCTTCATGTACCTTGAATAATAATAATAATAAAAAAAACAACCCTCACTGCTGTGGAGTCGGACTTGACTCATAGTGACCCCTCTTGGGTTTCTGAGGTGGTACCGCTACAGAAGTAGATTGCCCAACCTTCCTTCTGAGGAGTGGTTGGTGGGTTTGAACCACGAGCTTCTGGTTAGCAGTCAAATGCCTTAGGCACTACTCTGCCACCAGAGAATGTTGTTGTTGTTAGTGCTGTCTAGAGTCAGACCGACTAGCTCCGTAATTATCCTGTTAATTCGCTACTGCATGGGAACAGTAGGGGGCAGCCGACTTACATGCTAGCCTGTGTTGCAGAAGTGCTGTATCTCTAGGGTTCTTAAAGGGCCAGTTGCAATGTCAGACTTGCAAAATCTTGGACTGCTTCACAGACCTACCGAATCATTAACTCTGGCATGGGAGATAAGAGAGGGGGAGCAGCAATCTGTTTTTAACAAGCTTTCCAGGGGATTCTGATGCAAGTTCAAGTTGGAGAGCCACTCATGTATCTAGTCCTTGAGGCTCTTTCTCTCCAAAGGGAATTGTGAGCTGCTCCTCTTGGCTGGGGATGGCTGAGGAGTGACTGTGAGGGAGGGGAGGCTTCTAGTCAAGAGTGAGAAGCTAAATGCTTTTCGGATTACACTGTTGTATGCTTAACGTTTACTCATGTTAGGATTTCAAAATACTTTTTAGTGGAAGAAGTGAGAAGAGCTAGTTGTGGAAATGGGCAGCTTTCACTCACCCCAAGCCCTTTTATTGTTCCATTTCAGGGCCCAGTATCTTCAAGCTGCTGGGAGCCCTGCCTCCTGGGGAGATGGTTCTTACCTTTACCTACAAAAACAGTTTATCTAATCAGCTAAGAAAGACATTAGTGGTCAATATTATATCATCCACTGTGGGGTTAGCTTTATAAACTGGTGGTTTCTGAGTCCCTGTGATTTTTTTTTTTTTTTTTTTTTCCAAGAAGTAAATCTCCAGCATGCGGTTGGGAGTGGGGAGATATTTTAGGGCAAATTGACCTTTGGTTAAAATCTATCCTGTGAGTATTGTGAGTGTTACTATTATAGATGTGCTCAGGAAGCTTGGGAGAGAGATGGTTAATTCTTTATCACTGAGCAAAGAATGTCTGTCAGGGGAATGTGTGTTTGTCCGTGACCTCTTCCCGTAATCTCTCTGATGGGAAAGGCAGCGGCCAGAGATGTTCAGTCACCTTTGCCAAAGGCTGATTTTCACAATGACTGGCTACACTGTAAGGGTAACTAATTAATTAGCTAGACAATGGAACTTGAACATCAGCTTTAAATGAAGGGTTTCCTAATCAAGTCCTTTTTTTTTTCATTTTTTTCTCAGAAAAAGAAGAGGAGCCAATTCCGGTGATTGTGTCTCATCACCAGACCATATTAGCTTCACTGGGTAAGGCTTGCAAGTGCCGTGTGACCACATGGGCTGTGAGAGTGACAGAAACCACAAAGCACAGGGGTCTTGAGGCCGCTTGTCTCTGTTGACTTTACCTCATTGGTGTGCAGCATGTCTGGGTACAGGCCCTAGAAATCCAACGTGTGAAGCAGAAATAGTAAATGCAAGGGAATATTCTCTTTGTCTCATGCTGTTGGACATGGCATTGTTTTAAAACAGGTACCCTTTGCTTCATGAAAAACCCTACATACAAGAAAGTAGAGTGCATGCATATGTCCCTTTGTATACATAGACTTTCTGGAGAAATAAAGAAATTATTAGCTGTGGTTGCTTTCGGAAAGAAATGGAAATTTGAAGTGGGAAGGAAATGGAATTCATTGTATGTAGTTCTGTCCCATTTCAATATTTTTTCATATGCATTTTTAAATTTTTTCAATAAAAACTAGACAAATTAAAAAAAAAAAAAAGCCCTGCATAAAAAGTCTAAATGTAGAAAACTAAACATTGAGAGCAGTTATTTCACTTCCTGAAAGGATTAACTGCACGGTTCCTTTCCACAGTTAGCACATTGGGTGTATAGTCATTCCTCATTATTGGCAGTATCTGTATATAGGGATTCACCTACTTGCTAAGATTATTTGTAAACCCAAAATCAATACTCAGTAGTGTTTTCCTGGTCATTTGTGGACATATGAAGGGAGTCAAAAATGAGTTCCTCAAAGTGCCACCAGCTGGGTGGAATAAGGCAACACTCTGACTTCTCATTTCAGCTCCCCAGTGTAAACAAGTGTCCTTTTTGTGATCTGTTTAGGGCCACCTCTTTTCTTTTTTTCCTTTTTGCTGGTGATTCAGTATTTAAAATACTGAATTTAAAATCCAAAGCATTGTGCCAAAGAGCTGTCTAGTGTTCTTGAAGTCAGGAGGCTGTGATGTGTTTTATGGAGAAAATGTGTGTTAGGCAAGCTTTGTTCAGGCATGAGTTATAATGTTACTGGCTGTGAGTTCAATGTTAATAAATCAACAGTATATATTCAGTAATGTGTCTTTAAACAGAAACACCCACGAAACAATCTTGTTATATATTGAATGGTTGGTGAAAATGTGGTGACCAGAGGATTGCAGTTACCCAAACTTATATTTCCCTGGAGCAATGGTTCAATATTAATTAATTCACTAATTCAGTGTTCACAAAGACTTTATAGAATGTAACTGCTATGAGTAATGGTAACTGATTATATTTAAAATAAACCACTTAACCAAAGCTTGATTGATGCTCAGCATTTCCTTAAGACTGTTTGCAAAGTGAGGCACACCTGGCCACTGCCTGTCTTCAGAAATGATTTTGTCTTTGCTAAAATAGCTGGTCAGCTGGATGAGTAGTGTGATGAAAATGTTGGAGGGGTTTGACATTTGTCAGGCCATGGGTACAGGCCCATCTAGGCAGTTCACACTTACCACACTGTCATTCACTTATAGTGAGTGAAGGTGGCATAAGCACTTTATAGTAACAGCTTCTCATGCTAAAAATGAGGGGGAAATAATTGACCTTGTTGAGGTCAATGTGTTATGTGATCTCATTTGATCTCAACATCTACCTTGTAAGAAAGAGTTTACTTCTCCAATGAAGAAAAGCAGCCCAAGGGAATACTTTGTGGAACAAAATCAGGAAAGGTGTGTGTCAGGATTATATCCTTTCACCATACTTATTCAATATGTATGCTGAGCAAATAATCCAAGAAGCTGGACTATATGAAGAGGAGTGTGGCATTAGGAATAGAAGAATACTCATTGGATAATCTGCGATATGCAGATGGCACAACCTTGCTTGCTGAAAGTGAAGAAGAGCTGAAGCACTTACTGATGCAGATCTTTATGGATTATACCTCAACATAAAGAAGACAAAACTCCTCATAAATGAACCAATAAGCAATGTCATGATAAATGAAGAAAACATTGAAGTAGCCAAGGATTTCATTTTACTTGGATCCACAATCAGTGCCTATGGAAGCAGCAGTCAAGAATTCAAATAATGTATTGCATTGTGCAAATGTGCTGCAAAAGAACTCTCTAAAATGTTAAAGAGCAAAGTTGTCACTTTGAAGATTTAGGAGTGTCTGACCCAAGCCATGGTATTTTCCATTGTCCCAAATGCTTGTGCAACCTGGATAATGAGTAAGGAAGACTGCAGAATTGATGCATTTGAATTATGGTGTTGGTGAAGGATATTGAATATACCATGGACTACCAGAGAACAAACAAATCTGTCTTGGAGGAAGTACAACTGGAATGCTCCTTAGAAATGAGAATGGCCGAACTTTGTCTCCTGTAGTTTGGTCATGTTATCAGAAGGACCAGTCTTGGAGAAGGATATCATATTTGGTAAATTAGAGGGTCAGGGGCAAAGAGGAAGACCCTCAGCAAGTTTCATTATGTTGTACATAGGGTCACTGTAAGTTGAAATCAACTTAACAGCATCTAACAACAATAATTTGTGAGCATGAAATGTTCTTCCATTTGTTAAGGTCTTCTTTAATTTCATTCAATATTTTATATTGTTCAGAGTACAAATATTTTACTTCTTTGGTTAAATTTTTTCTAGGGTTTATATATATATACATATATATATATGGATGATGGGAGCTCTGGTAGCATAGTGGCTAAGGCACTTGACCGCTAACCAGAAGGCTGGCAGTTCAAACCCACCAGGCACTCTTCGGAAGGAAGACTGGGCAATCTACTTCCATAGTGATACAGCCTCGGAAAACCAAGGAGGGGTCGCCTTGAGTCAGTCCGACTCGACGGCACAATA